TTTAAGAAACTTTAAAGATATATTATAACTAATCGTTCCTGGCAATTTGCTATTTGTCATGCACTATTCTGAAGTACTTTACATGTATTAATTTGCTTAATCCTCTTAACACTTCTAAGAAATAGGTACAATGATCACTTTCATCATAGATAGGGGGAAACCGAGGCTAGAGAACTTAAGTAATTTGCTTTAATTCACACAGCTAGTAAGTGGAGAAACCAGGAATTAAATCCAGGCAGTTAGAATTCTGAACTTGCATTCTGTGGCAAACTTTAAGCTATATTTTAACTGACCATCCATGAGGTAAGTAATCCATGTGCGGCCATTCAATACAAATTTACTTTTTAACAACCTTAGGCTATAAGGGACGGGAGGACAGAACAGAGAAGAGCTAGATGGTGAAAATTCTGGGACCATCTGCATTTATGGGAATTAAAAACCATATTCATCTACCATCTTATGCCGCACTTGGTTTCCTTGCGAAAACACCTGATCATTTGGAAGGCTCAGGAAAAGACACAGAAAGATGGTAAGGTATAAGTTAGAAGAGCCATTGTAGAATCTATGGTTTCGTGCAGCTGCTGTGAATATTCTGTTTCATGAAGATAAGCTTTTTGTGAATTTTATCATCTATGGTATTTTAGTCATTTAATGAGAATGTGCATTTGAGTCTCTCTGCTATGACACCCTCGTGTATAAGGATTTATCTTAGTGAGATAAACCTTTATATCTCTTTCGAAGCAGGGTAACAGATCCTTTGATCAATTTTCCCTCCTGTGTGTAGAATTTGTACACACTAGGAAATGTGTGGAGAAATGGTTCTCAAAGTGTGGTCTGGGGATTCCTGGGGGTCCATAAGACCCTTTAAGAGGCCCACAAGGCCAAGACTATTTCCATAATGACATTAAGATATCAATGTCCTTTGTCACTCTCAGTGACACATTGTACACAGTGGAGTTTTCCATAAGCAACAGGAATGCAAACAGACCTGAAAATCCAGTTGACTTCCATTGAGATTCCATTAAAGAGATTTGCAAGATGTAAAACAGTGGCACTCTTCTCATTAATTTATTTTTGTTTTGGAAAAATTTTTTTTCATCAAAGTATATTATTTGTGTTAATTCATTAACATGCAGTGGGTTTATTACTGTTATTTTAAGAGAAATACTTTTAAACGATCAGTTTTAATTTTTAATAGAGTCCATACCAATAGGTTTAACCCCCATAAACAGAAATTTTTAAGATCCTCAATAATTTTTAAGAATGAAAAGAGCTTCTGGTACCAAAAAGTGTGAGAACCTCTGGTAGAGACACTAGAACAAACCCAAATCATGAGTTGTATCTAGGTTAGTTTCTAGGATCTTAATTTTAACTTTGTGTTTGCTAAATTATTTATAGCTTGAAATATATATATATATATGTGTGTATATATATATATATATATATATATTTGTTTATTCATGTATTCAAAGAATGTATATTGAAGAGTTGTTGTGTGCCAGCTGCTGGATAAAGCACTGGGGTGCATTGGTGGGGAGGCAGCCTGCCCTCCCAGAACCTAATCTTGGCACTCATTCCTGCAGGTTTCCCTTTAGCAGCTATACTCAGTCTGTGCACAACATCGAAAGAGCTTGTAATTCAGGCAGGCAAGACGCCTGTGTGGAATCTTCAAGAAAATCAGAATGAATAGAAATTCAGATGTCACCATTAACAGTTCTCAAGAAGCAAGAGCTCAGAGGAGGGATCAATCAATGTCAGATGGTGGGACAAGGGATTCTTGTACTGGACTTAAACCCTGAAGGATAGATAGACTTAAGACAGCTGAGTTGAGTGGAAGGGGCCAGAATGGGTGGGGGAAGAAGAGATGAGCAGGCTTGCAGAGTTAGGTCATCGCTCACTGCGTAGGATGTAGGGAAGGGCAAGGGCCTGTCTCTATGGAGAAAGAGTCTTATGGTGTGAACTCTTGGTCCAAGACTGGGTTTTCTTCTGTACAGATGGAAAGCTCCTATGTCTTCTAAACTATTGGTCAATGGATGTCTCTCTTGGGTGTGATTAAAAGTCCATGCCATCATTCTGTGTTTCCCAAACTTGCCAGATCTTAAACTTTCCTAAATAACAAGAATTATTTGGAAATACTAGCTAAGGAAACAGATTCCAGGGTTCCATCCAAAGTATACTTATCCAGGGAGGGGCCTGAGGTTTTTCGTTTGTTTGTTTGTTTTTTACCATTATCAGTCATGTCAGGTGATTGTCTTTTCCTTTTTTATTATAGGTAAGTTTGGAAAATGTAACTCAACCCATTACCAATGGTTCTAATCCTGAAGCTGCAAACTGGGAAACTCAAACAAAACAAAACAAAAACACACAACAACAAAAACCTTAGTAAGGCTCAGGTCTTAGTCTCAGTGACCTAATTTAATAATTAATAATAATAATAAAGGTAAAAATGAAGATAACTAACAATAACCAGATGAAGTTATGTGCAATTTTTGTCTATAATTGTTCCTTCAATTGCACTATATTCTCCATAGCCCCAGAATCAGCTAGGAAAATCACATCTGGCTCCATTAAACATGTTTTTTCTTGTTCTAAGATGCTAAGAATATGGCATTTCGAACTAGGGTGTGATTGCTGGTGGTGGTGTAGGTGGGGAGTGACATAGCTTACTTTGGAGAAAAAGAAAAGAACATTTATGGTTCCCCTGGGCTCTCAGTATCTGTTCAGATCACAGCAAATGTTAAGAGTAGCCCACTGAGACCATCTGGGAAATAATCTTCCTGGTTCCACTTAGCTGGAACCTATGGGATGAAGCAGAAGAACAAAAATTGCACTAGAATTCTCATTTTTCCTGAATACTTTATGAGTAAATGCAAAGCATGTGCTGTTTCATCCCACAGGAAAATCAATTCTGTTTTTACTGGGGAAAAGGTTTGTATTTTTCCATTTATGAAATCATGGACTCCAAGTTTTGGGAAGTTCCTGAGCCAGAAGGCATTTGAGAGGCCACTTGGCTCTACTGCTTACTCTCTCTCTCTCTCTCTCTCTCTCTCTCTCTCCTTCCTCATATAACGAGGACTGGGTACCAGGAGATGTGAACTTTGAGCTGCCTCTGGCACTGGCTTGCCGTGTGATTTGGGGCAAGCTCCTCATCTTTTCTAAGCCTCAGCTTCCCCATTTGTCCAAAGAAAGGTGTACTTTAGTTTGTTGAGCTCTTCCTGCTGGGACTTTGCAAAAATATAAGACTCTATTGTGACATTGTTCTGGCACTTTCCTAGACAAAGGACACCTCGTTTATAGATGTTCCATGGCATCTAGAAAGAACTATATTTGTTATGTGGGCCAAATTGAACAGGATCTACTCAGAGACCTAAAAACACTCTTAGCATTCAGAAAACCTTTTCTGATACTCTGAAGAAAGAAAGGGTCTGAAACTTGGCCTTCTGGATTAAACACCTTATTGAGTTGTACGGTCTTGGGCTTGTGAATTATTCTCATGGAATCTATCTTCTTCATTCACAAAATGGGGATAATAATAATAATAATAATATCTGTCTCATGAAGTTGTTCTGACAAGTAGATAATATACTTCAGGTTTCAATAACAATTAGATATCCTTATTTTCCTCTTATAATTTTGGTCCTAATGGGTGTTTTCTCCTTTCCTTGGTGTGTCCTTTGGTACTGTTATAAATTCATTCTGTTAATGCATCTTTATTGCCTTTATATTCTAATATTTAGGCTTAGTTCACCTAAGGGAAAGAAGAAAGGAAATATTTCTTAAGTAGTTAATTTTTTAAATGTTTACTTATTTTTGAGAGAGAGAGAGAGAGAGAGAGAGAGAGAGAGACAGAGCATGAGCAGGGAAGGGGCAGAGAGAGAGGGAGACATAGAATCTGAAGCAGAATCTGGGCTCGGAGCTGTCAGCACAGAGCCTGACACAGGGCTGAAACTCACGAGCCATGAGATCATGGCCTGAATCAGAGTTGGACACTTAACCAACTGAGCCACCCAGGCGTCCCTTAAGGAGTCAATTTAAAAAAAATTTTTTTTTAATGTTTTTATTTATTTTTGAGACAGAGAGAGACAGGGCGTGAGTGGGGGAGGGGCAGAGAGAGAGGGAGACACAGAATCTGAAGCAGGCTCCAGGCTCTGAGCTGTCAGCACAGAGCCCAACATGGGTCTCAAACTCACAGACTGTGAGATCATGACCTGAGCTGAAGTTGGACGCTCAACCGACTGAGCCACCCAGGTGCCCCAGGAGTCAATTTTTAAAGAAAAATAACATACCTGATGGTAAGAGTCAAAGCAGGTGACAAACTACCATTATTTTATTCTGTCAAACAAAGATGGAGGTAGAGTCCAAGGTTTGTGAAGGGAAGCAGGTTTCTGGATGAAGTGTTACCCAGCCCCCTCACTCCACCCCCAGCACTGTGCTTCATGGTTATCATTTCCTGATTAGGAACTTCCTGTTTAAATCACTGGCATGAGTTAAAGGACATTCAGGTTCTCTGGAAGGCAGCTTTCCAGAGTAGGGCAACAATCAAGGCTTTCCATTTTTTTCCCTCCACCTTTCACCTGCCCAGCACAGTCCTTTGGAGTGGAGCAATGGTGCTGAGGAGTCCACAGCTGCAATACAGCTGTTATGTGTCAGGCCTGGGGCTCCAGACTTGGGATCTAGTCCTAGTTCTTCAGCTTCTTATTCCCCATGGATCCTTGAAGGGATCTCTTGCCTCTCTCAGGATCTGCACCTTTAAATGGGCAGGTTTCAATGGATGCACAGACGTACCTAAGGGCATTTTGTTACAAACACACAGGTCCAGACCTCACTCCCAGAGGTTTTGGTTCAGAAAAGCCAAAGGTGAGTTGTTCTTGTGAATCACTGCCTCTAACCCAAGGTACCTGCACATAAAATCCTAGGTGTCTTCCATTTATGGTATGTGGCATGACTCACCCACCTATTGGGATATGAAGAACTCAAGCAAGTTTTCTTTTTCACAGGATTGTCACCCAGGCTTGTGGCTCTCCAAGTGTGGTCTATAGGTCTCCAGTGAGCCATGAGGATCTGTCTGAAGGCCTCAGAAAGAAACACATGTGAGTCCTTTCTTTACATTTTGGAAGTGAATGACACAAATTTCCATAAGTTGATATTTTTGTATATTATTAAGAGCTACTTGCCAAGAATCTAGTATTAGAAGTTTGCCCCACCCCCCTCTGAAAGCAAAGCCTTAGACAAAGACAGGTGAGTTTATTTGGTACTGCCATTCCTTTCTTTGGTTTCATGATGTGTGGATGGAGATCGAAGAGGATAGGACGTAGAGAAATGAATTTTAGTTCCAGACTAAGCTTTGTCATTCCCTCACTGTGGACTTGGAAAACCACTCTGCTTCTCAATTATCATCCTTATCAAGTGGATATAACCAAGTTCTGATTCACTGTGTTGCACTGAGACTTAAATGAAATGGTATGAGCCAAAATGTTGTAGGAATTACTAAGTGCACCAATAGTTTATTGTTTACTTGAAGGTCTAATGTTTTCAACTCCATCTGGGGCTGTGGAGGTTTAACACGTACTGGATTGCAGCCCTATGATTGCTGAGTGTGCCTGGAGGGAGGACCAGGGAAATCTGTAATGAAAAAATTCTTTCTGGTCGAAACTGTGGAGCTTTAATGCGTACTGGATTTCAGCCTTATGATTGCTGAGTGTGCCTGGATGGGGGACCAAGAGAATCCGTAATGAAAAAATTCTTTCTGGTCAGTTTTGTTTATCAGCCAAATTTGAGAACCACTAAACTAGACTGTGGGTGTCATGGAGCAGGGATTATGACTTATTCAACTTTATATTCCCACTGTTTTACATAATTTCTAGTATATGGTATAGTCAATAAATATTTTTTGAATAAATAAAAGGCCAAACCCCTATACTTAACAAAAAAGTGCAAAGGCACAACTCTCCAGGAGTTACTCCATTCCCCTGATCTGCATGTCTGTCTGATCTACTTTCCTTCACTGAATTAGTTTGTTTGTCCTGGAAATACCTGAGCTAATTTATACTCATTATTATAATGCTTGAGCAGCTTGTACTACCTTATGTTTAGAATCACCATGAGTGACATCTTCTTTTTCTACTCTAAAGGTGGTTGTGAAGATTATAAATATAATAAATAAAAAGTTATTTCTAGGCTGAAGTGTGCTATAAATATATAGGGAATTAATGTTATTAAGAATATGCTAAGGAGCTTCATGGCTCTTCAAAACTCAATAGATAATGTGGCTGTCGAAAAGAAGATTCTTTCATCAGAGTCTCTAGCCTCACAGATTCACTACTGAACTCACTTTAAAGTGATTCAGAGAACAGACTTAAAATAAAGGGACATGGGGAATTGAAATTATAAGGCTGAGCAGAGGCGTAAAAGCCAAGGCCATCCAAAATAATATAGAGAGATCTCAGTATTATTAGGAAAGTATAATTCAAGGCCGAAGATGTTGAATAGGTCAAAAAGGAACCTTTTGAAATGATAGAGTATGCGGTCCATAGGGAATACACTGTCATGAATAGTTATGCATCAAAGAACATAATAGTAAAATACAGAAAAAAGAAATCTTCAAAAAATCCATGGAATAAGAATAAGAATAAGAATAAGAGGAAGAAGAAGAAGAAGAAGAAGAAGAAGAAGAAAAAGAAGAAGTGGAGGAGGAGGAGGAGGAGGAGGAGGAGGAGAAGGAGCAAGAATGAGGTGGAGGAGGGGAGGAAGAGGAAGAGGAGAAAGAAAGAAAGAAAGAAAGAAAGAAAGAAAGAAAGAAAGAAAAAGGAAGGAAGGAAGGAAGAACTCTGACAGACTCAAATTTATAGGGGGAAAATTGTTACACCTCTTTGGATCTTTGGCAGATCCAGCAGATGCAAAGGTAAAGAGGACATGGACATAATTTAGGAGATATTTTTAGTATCAGTGTACAAAGAACCCTACAAACAAAGAAAAAAATCTTTTAAAAAGCATCTATGGAACAAATCCTCACCGAGATTTTAAACCTAAAAATATCTTAATAATTTCTTCAAAGAAAGATAGTATTGACCTGGCTGTCCAATATAGTAGCCATGATTCATATCTGGCTATTGAGCGCTTACATTGTAGAAAATAAGGAAATTAGAAAAACAAAAAAACTATGTTGTCTTAGAGGTCTACAGTCAAGTTGGTGAAAGAAACCTACCCCTGTGCAATGGATATCTAATTGTTCTTAATATTGAGTGCGTATTGTGAGCCAGGTTGCAGGATCTCACATTACCTGTAATCCTTTCAAACACACTACAAGGTTGGCATAATTATACCCACTTATTAGATAACTAAACAAACTCAGCCATGTTAAGTGGCTTTGTTTAAGACCTCAAAGCAAAGCAGTAAATGTGTGATTGGGATTCTGGCTCTGATGTCCATGCTGTTTCCAGTTCATGAAACTGGTTCCAATGTTCAGCTACATGAGTGAAAGTCCACAGGTTATAAGATAGGAATTTGGAGGTGAGAGAATTGAAAAACCTAAACCATCACATTTGCTTTGATTTGGTTGGCATATCTTGGTTTAGTATTGGGAACTTCAACTTTATAAGACAACAACAGTAGGTGATTGTTTAAGGCCCCTTTCAGAATGTAGCAATGAGAGGTACTTCGGACAGGTCAGCTTTTCTAGTATGTGGTGGGTATTATTGGTTTCTGCTAGAAAAGCCCTCGTATCATGGTACTGCATGCAGTCACATGTAGGGGGCACTCCTGACATGTGTCCTATTAAGAGTTCCCTGGAGTTTGGGTTGTCTGTCCAAGTAACATTCTAATAGTGACTTCACATTTGGACACATTGCAGTTAAAGCTTCATTAGCTACAAAATAAACTGCCAGAATTCATTTCCATCTTTTATTTTAAGAGAAAGGGGGAAATCATATGAAAATCCAGAATTAACAAATTTCTTGGAACATTCTAGTCAGTTGAATCCATTTCAATATATACTTTCCAGGCTCCTAATGTGCATTGACACCAGGGACAGAGTTGTGAAAAAGACAGAACAGTAACTCCAGGAAGGACCATATAGATTTTATTGGTGTGTTATTTTTTCAGTTATAACTGGAAATCTTCCCAGGTCAACTCAGGAGATGCTCAATCTTAGAGTAATACTTGGATAGACAACTCAAACTCAGGAAACTCAGGAGATCCCTCAGCCTGATGCAACGATATGCATAGGAATAAGGAAGAAGAATCTCAGTAACACAGCTGACTCCCAAAAGACTGGCTCATCATGAAAGTACTGGAAAGTTCAGGACCTTCCCAGAATGACACTTGACTACTGCCACTGTTTCAGCTGCCATGTACAAATTTCTCTTTAATAATAATCATGTCTGTTAAATGTCAGGCACTATGCCAAACACTTTCCAATTCTGATGATTTATCTATTTCATATTGTCTGCTACTTCTGGACTGTTCTTCCTTTACATTTGCGCTTTGGTTTCTGATTCTGTTATAAATGTCTCAGCTCACTGTGCCTGGATTTCAGATGATTACAGACTTCCTTGATAGCTCCACTTCCCTGATTCATCTAATTTATGGTCCCTCTGTTAAGTGCCAGTATTGAGCGAGGTTCTGGAGTTTCCAAATTTAATGAGATAGCATGGGTCCTAAAGTGTGTGTGTGTGTGTGTGTGTGTGTGTGTGTGTGTGTGTGTTTGTGACAGAGAGAGAGAGAGAGAGAGAGAGAGAGCCCAATAAACCAACACAATCCAATTTTTATCTTAAAAAGATCATTTTTCATGGGTGGAAGATGCATTGGGGTGGTGAGGAGGCAGCAAGGGAGAGGTGAGGGGAGGCAGGAGGCTATTCTAGTAATCCAGGTGAGAATGATGCTTGGATTACAGTGCTGATAGTAGAGATGAAGAAAGAGGAAAAATGAGAGCACTCACTAGGGAGTAGCACAAGACACTTATTGGTTGCTTGGATGTTGGATGTTAGCGAAAGGGTAATTTTTCTATTTGAGTAATTGAGTTGATGGGATAGATCTGAGGAAGTCCAGAGAGTGGGAAGTGGTATGGAGAATAGAAGATGTGGAGTTTGAAACGTTTTATATTTGAAATATCAGGGAGAATATGTCAAATAGTTGAATTTGTAAGAGTGGATCTCAGAGGAGTTAGTTAACTGAAGTGGAGATATAAATTTAGTAGTCACAGCATACAGCTGGCACTTGTAGCTGTGGTCACAGAAGAGATAATGGAGGGAAAGACTATAGAAGGAAATAAGAAAGATCCTCCAAAGAATTCTAAGCTCAGGGGGTTGAGGAGGAGCAGCCAGGGACTGAATAAAATGTCCCAGTGAGGTGGAAGAAAAAACCCAGGTGATTGTGGTGTTATGGAAGCTGAGAGAGAAGTCATAGGATGGAATTCAGAGTCCAAAAGGCTTTTAGTAGGCTTGATGACACTTCCTTCATCATAATAGCCTAAAAGAAGGAGAGAATGAGTACAAATACTTTAGGCTTGAGCATGGGTGGTGAGAAGTTGAGGGAGTTTGCTTCTGGTAATTTGTATTTTTCTCAACTAAGTATGAGGCAAGGTCATAAGCTGAAACTGGTTGGAGGAAGAGGTGTGGAGACATAAGGAGAGAGAAATTATTCACCTCAGTGAGTGGGAAAGTCAGCCTGTGAGAGAAAGATGGTCAGCCCTCTGGGCAGTTGTGAAACCCCATTGATACCTGGGACCATTACATTAATGTGAACCCTGTCAGTCCAGTTGTGTGATTGTTTTCTCCAGCAACATATAGCTGCTGGGTGATACCTCAGAGGAAGTGGATATTTGGTATGTGGAGGCCAGAGTGATGGATGGGCCATGGGCAGGGAATTTGGGGAGATTTGCCAGGAAGTAATTAAAACAAATGCTCATGCAATCTAGGATGGGCAAGAAGACAAAGTCAGGAGAGACTAAGGGGTGCTGAGAAAATGGTAGGGATTGGAGGATAAACTCAAAGAATTGTGGTAGGGTGGGGGGGGCTGTTCTAGAGCATATGATTTGGAACAATGGAATGGGGTGGTCAGAGTTTGAAGTGTATACATTTATATTTTATTTAAT